ACTCTTCTTTCATTATTTATTATCTTAAGAGTTTATTTATTGTGGCTATGTGATGAAGATCATTAATATTAGGTTATTTTTCACTACGTTTTCCATTTTCTTCGCACGTTGAGCGGCGATATATCATTCTTGCTTTGGAGCTTTTTTTTTTGAGATGTGCTAAAGAAAACATCAGTCGCTTATTTAAAAAAGTGACACCTAAGGGATTAGCGCAAATTATAAATAAGGCAGTGACGGAGTCTGTGGATGAGTAATTTTTGGGGAACATCAAGTGTTTACTTTATCGAAAAATGATTGAAGAATTTTTCGTTGTGTTCAAAATTTTTGAATTTTCCCGCGCTTTTTGGCTTGTAAACAAAAATTTTTGCATGTGAAAAGTTGCAAATTCTGTCTTTAAATGGTAATTTACAGAGTTATATTTTTGTTTGAAGCTTTGCTCCAACTTTTTCAACAATATGTAAACACTTACAAAGCTATTGGGCACTTAGTTGAGTTAAATTTTTGATACAAAATCTCCATATGAGAATGTAAACAAATCATTTTCGAAATTCAAAAACCAAAAATTTTGATAATGAAAACCAAACACAGCTTTCATTTAATGACTTCATACTTTTTTTCTTCATTAATTTTGATGAAAATATAAAATTTTAATTCAATAATAATTACAAGAGAGTAATGACACCAAACCAGCACTCGCGCAAAATTAACAAATCCAATCAATTAAATCCGATAATTACAAATTAATTCGTTCATTAACCTCCTTAATTACGCCAGGTGTCTCTTGTAAAATACATTATGCACTTGTAAATACGTCACTGTGTATATATACTTTTTTTTACCACATTAATAATATTCAACTGGAAACTTGCATTCCATCAACCATTATGCTAACAAATGAGAAAAAGTCAACAAATTGATGTTATTAAACATTCTGTTCTCGATTCTCGTCTCACTCGACATTATGTCTTCATTACAAAAAGCCCCGCGCTTAAGAATGAAGAAAAAGATGCCTTTGTTTCCACGATCTGAGGATAGAAAGAGATGTTAAAATAAGAAAATAAGTGTACATGTACAAATATGAAACGTCTTTGTAAAAGAAATTATTAATTGGATGATATTTATCATGAAGCGCTTCTCATATACACTTTAAATGCTCCGAAAGTAACTTCATTTAAGTTATGATGTTGATCATCACATATTATATTATTTCATCAGTCAATTTTGTATTTTTCAGCTTCATCTCATGTATTTTTTATCCAGTAGATAGGAAAAACTGAAAAGGAGAAAGAGAATCAACAAGAAAAATGTTTTTTTAAAAAAAGCATTTCAATCTATTTCGAAAAAATGATTCATGCAATGGACACGGTAATACAATGCATTCAATTTACTGTTTGTTCATTCGCTTGCACTGATGTTTGCACAATTGTCCGATGATCATCATCGAAATGAAAAAAAAAAGTGTATGTATATATGGACAGAGTCATTCAAAGTGCAACTGTAATTTTTTTTGTGCATTGTTTTAAATGGTAAATGAGTTATAGCTATAGGTTTTGCTAGTTGGCTCAATTTGAAGTATTTTAGGATTGATAAAACTGATCAAAACTATTGATTTTGGAGAAAAAATTATAAATTTAATGTTTTGAATCAGTTTGATCATCAAAACTGCTGAATCTTATTGTACCGATCTTTTCGACTATAAGAACAGCCTAAATGAACATTATTTGATCTACATACTGTCTTCTTTGTCTAATAATTAAGTTAAAGTTATTTTTTGCAGAACTTGTTAACATTCCGAATTTTCACAATCTCAAAGGGGTGTGAAACTTTTTTTTGTCATAAGAAGAGCACAAACCTATAACAACCTTGATTCAAATATAATTGAATCGTTAAAAATCATTTAACTTTCTTAATCCCAAAGATGCGCTTAAAACATCATCTAAAATGCAACAATTCCAATGCTTACTATTTTCTGAAGAAAAAAAATCAGTTTGATCAACTTTTCAAATTTTAATTGAATGCATAGTAGATAAATATTGATGTTACTTACTGCATTTTCAGGCAATTTTTTCTAGCTTTACTTCATTGTCCATTTTTTTAGACATTTAACATGTCAAATGCATATTGAACATAACATTCTATGCGTTAATTACACCAAAAATGCCTTTTTCCATTATCTATTGTCATTTATTGAATGTTCAAATGTTTGAATAAAAATTCACATGCACGAAATGTCAGCAGGATTCAAAAAATAAAAAGAACGACAATGCATTTAAAAAATATATCGCTTGCTTTAGTTACATGGACTGCATTCCTATATGACTTAAAGCTAGAAAAGCAGTAAGACTTCAATTTCGAACCCCTCCGTAAATGCATGCATATAGTTTTTTTTTATCTTTAATCTACGTGTAACAAACAATAAATTTCTCAAGAAACTAAATCATTTCGCGGATTCACATCCCCATAATAAATAATGTACATCGTTATGGAAGAAAAAAAAATAAATAAATGGTTGTAAGGAATGATTCAAGGGTGGTGCAAAGAGCGAAAGCAAAAACTAGCCTCGTTAAAAATAAATAAAAGTGAGAGAGAAATGAAAGTCGAAGAAGAAGTAGGAAAAAAAATCCCCGCATTACGTTTAAGAGGGTTGAAGACGATCGTGAAATAAAAAAAACCATAAAATATCTGCCTAAAATGTTCACACGATGGTTATAACATTCTTAAAATTTATTGCATGTATAAAAGAAATTTCATTTCTACAGTTTTACGGGTTATATTGCATCCTTAATGTAACTGACTGAAGAGGAATGAAACTTTTCAGGAGCGTTATGACATTACTGTATAATAATTAAAAAGAAGTGATTTTTTCATACCAAACGGCGAATGGTAACAACAGCAATGCAGATACAAGAAATTAATTTAGCAAAGTGAGTTTTCGTCAATTTATTTTCAATGGGCGATGTTGCATTTCAATTTATTGTTTGAAAATCAAATATAAAGGATGAGGAACTTAATGAATAACAAAGAAAGAAAAATTCTCTTGCGTAAAATTAAAATTGAAAAGCGTCATTTTAATTATGAAAATGCAGCAGAGTAAGATGTGATGTCAGAAATCATGAATTTCTGTAAATGAGAATTAAAATGTTTGTTAGCGGTTTTTAAGGATGTGATGTTAAAATGGGGTGAATTCTTTTTGGTTTATCTAGGGAACCTCTAGCTTTCAGGTTCCCTAGATAAACCAAAAACAATTTACCCCATTATCACATCACATTATTCGTTTTTTATATGGGTTTAGGTTATAACCAAGTCATTTTACTTTTGGAGCATCTGTTGGCGATCCTCAATCTTGTTAATGATGTTTGGGAGACTTAGTTCTGCATGCCAATTCTGATCCTTTCTTAGGTCTATCATTCAGTTATTTTTGGTCAATTTAAGAACATAAGAGTTATAAAATTGATTACCAAGAATCAAACTAGTAATGAGCATTTGAAGCTATTACCTGTTCGAAAATTCACCGAAAATCCTTAAAAAATGCGTCCATATTAACAACAACACAAATTCTTCATATAACTTTTAATAAACTCCATCAAATGTTTTATGTTGAACTTACAGTAAAGGTTTAATGAAATCTTCATTTCATTACACTAAAACATTATCTTTCACCCTTCATGTTAATTACAAAAAAAATGAATCAGCTTCCTCTAGACAGAACATATTAATAATCATCACAAGAAAAATTATGAATTTTTCCTCACAATAAATTTTGCATCATAAAAATGAGAATTTTTTTTTGTTTCCTCAGCTATCCAATGCACTACATTGCATTGCAATTTGTTGAAGTGAATGATGTGCTGACACAAAATACTGAGTAAATAAAAGAAAATTTAAAATTGAATCGTGTTTGTGTTATAAAATGTTTATTTTTTTCTGTAAATATTGTTCCCATTGAATGAATATATCAATTTACTTATCTGCCGTTTATGTCATATTCTGTAATCAAAAGCAAAGAGTAAGTGAAATTTATATTGGACTTCTTTTGTTTATTCAAATGTTTAAAACAATGGATGAAAAATAGACTTTTGTAGGATTTGGAGATGATAAAGTCAAGCGGTGTTTTATGTATAGATCTGTTATTTTACCAGATTTGATTGTGTGGTGAAGTTTTGTCTAGGATTTGATTGAGTTTTCATATAATTTTCAATTTTTTGGGGCTAGTCAATAGAGTTTTATTCAGCACATTATACTGAATTTAACATATTGAGCTGAATTTAGCAAATTCATTGCATTCAGCTGATTTTCAGCAAATTCAGTACGCTCAGTTGAACTCAGCAAGTTCTGTACATTCAGCTGAATTCACCAAATTAAGTATATTAAGTTGAATTCAGAAAATTCAGAAAATTTGACATAACTGAAATTAGCAATTTTGCCATACTTAGCTGAATTCAGCAAATTTCTCATATTCATTTAAGGTCCGTTTTACTGAATCAGCTGAATTCACCATATTCGTTTTAATCTAATATAGCTGAATCAAGCTGAATTCAGTTAATGTTGGTGAGTTCAGCAAATTGTTCTGATATCAACTTTTGAATAGTTTGCAGAGCAATGTTAAGATGCTCGACAAATTTTCATACATTTTTAATAGCATTAAATTATTCAAAACTTTGTTGGTTCAATTAATCTTGTTCTATTTCTGATTTTAATTAAAATCTTTCATGAAAATACCCAAAATTACAATTATTGTCTTAATGTATTTCCATCAAAATTCTGAGAATCTTTTTAAGAATATTCAACTCATTGACTGAAAAATCATAAAATTACAATTAATTAAGAAACTTTTGTTGTTTCAGTAAAATTAGTTGCTAACGCTACCAAAATATATTTTATATGGCAATGCCATAACTTGTTTATATTTAATCGATCGTATCCAATATACCGGCACATAAAAAGCAAAAGTATTTGGATTTTTAAAAATAATTTCAGTAAACAGCAGTCAATTGTGAATAGTTCAAGTGAGAAAGGTGCTTAAAAAATACAATATCTTCAGGATGGATATGGAAGAAAGTGCTGAGGAGAGCAATGCAGCAGGAGAACAATATGAAGAGGAAATTGTCCCAAAATTCATTACTGATGAGGTTTATGAAGAAATTACTCAACGTTCAGCTTCAATTATCCGTGATTTACAAATGTCAAAGCAATACCTTTTCTCAGAAGATGTACAAAAACTCTTACTTCTGTGCCAAAATCTCCGACAAAATATAATTGATGAAAGGGACAAAATCGATCAAATGAGAGGCGAAGTGAATAATGCTCAAGCGAGGGTACAGAATGCATTAAAGGAATCAATGCAAAATCAGGAAGTCATACAACAGCTAAAATCCGAAATTGGTATGATGAGACATCTAAAAAAAATTATCATTTAATTGAATTTGTATGTCTTCATCGCATTATGTAGATCAGGCATGGAAAAATGCGGATGCTTCAGCATTGCGTGAACAAATCGCTCAAGAGGCGATGAATGTGTTGCGTGAAAAATTGGAAAAACTTCAAAAGGAAGCGGAAAAATATGCTGATCGTGGAGATGGAGACGAGTATGGAATTACACTTTATTGATTTTGTATTTATTCCTATCCATCCCTTCATGTTTTCCTTACTTCCTTCGAATTTGAAATTTTAAAAAAATTGCCTTCTTTTCCAATTCAATACTTTAATGCCTCTTTCCCATCCCTTAACTTTACTTTTTATTCTACTCAACAGCGGCAATGCTATGCAATCAAAGAAAGAGGGTTTACGCGAACGAGACCGTTTGATCAATGAAATTGAAGAGCTCCAAAAGAAAGTACATGCACAAACAAAATATATTGAGGAATTGGAAGAGAAAAACTTTGAAAATGAGGAGAAAATCAAAGATCTTTATCGTCAACTCGAGGATGTCTCCAATGATGCATTTAAAGGAAAGCGAGCATTTGAGCAAATCTCAAATAAATTGCAGGAAACGACAGATGAAAAGCAATATCTATCGGATGAATTGAAGAAATATAAGCAACAAGTAAGTTTGCGCATTTATATCTTTTTTTATTTATTCTGTGACTTTTCTGTGGTTGACAATTTACAGGCAGAATCTGAGCATAGGATTGTGGTGCAACAGAATATGCAAATGCTGGGACTTCGAGCCAACTTAGATAAGCAAACCACACAGAATAATTTGAATAATATGAAGCTGACCAGATTAAATGGTATTTATATGCTCTTCTGCATATTTTCATATTTTCTTCATTAAATTGAAATTTAGTAAAAAGGGTCAATTTAATACCATAAGAATTAATTTTGTCAATATTTTATAAACGGATTATACTAAATTAAATTTCTTTTTTCATTTTATAGCCGATTTTGATAACATGACTCAATTGAAAGATAAATTGACAAGTGATTTAAATACAAAGAATAATATCCTTAAATTGAAAGAGGACGAAAATGCAAAATTTCGATTAGAAAATGCCAAAATTATTAAGTCGAGGGAAATTTTAATGAAAAAGATGATGACGATTGACACATCAAAGGCTGCATTGGAAAATGAAATATTGAAATTAAAGTAAGGATAGAATTAATTTAATCATATTATGTTATACGTTTCAGTTCCATTGCAGCTTTATTTTCAAAGGAAAATATTTTTTATACATTCACTTATTCTTAACGGTTAAAATTTAAAATTTCTGTCACTTTTTGGAGTTGCATGCCCCGCTGTTTTGTTTTGGTTTTTAGTTGATTTTTATATTTTGGAATGAAAACATCGATAAAATTTCCTTTAACTTAATTATTAGACGCTAAACCACTTCTGATTAGCATTATTGATTACTTTAACTTAATTATTAGAAACTAAACCACTGCTGATTAGCATTTTTGATTACTTTAACTTAATTATTAGTCATTAATCTCATTGATATTGTCGATTGAGAAGCATTATGCATAAAATTGAAAGCCAATTTTCAGCAAAAAGTTAAATTTAATGATGACTTATAACAACTAAGCAATAAATCACTAGAAAATGCGTCCCAGTAACTTGATTCAAACAAATTTTCATTAGTTCTCTTTAATTCAATTTAAGAAATACTATATCGACATTTGAGAAGGAAAGAGAAAACACAAAGAAGATGATAGAACAAGCAAAGAAATATGCAGAGGGATTGGTACGTGAGCGTGATTTAGTAAGGAAGGATATCGTCAAATGTTCTAGTAAGTATGATGGATTCTTACATCATAGTAATAATGATTAATTAATCTATTCTGCTCATTAATATTTCTCAGAGACTGTAAATGATCAGAGAAATCAAGCAGCAATAGTCGATCAACAACTAAAGACATTAGAAAATGAAATAAAGCATTATCAACACAATGAACAGAAATTGAATAACACAATTAGTAAGCTTAAAAAGGATAAGGAACAAATGACAGAAGACTCACAGAATTTAACTGACAAATATGATCTATTGAAGGAAGAAGTCAATACCAAAAACTATCAAATTAATGACTGTAAAGAAAAAGTGAATGAAATCCAAACGCGTTTATTAAAAACACAGCATGACTTACAGTCATCTCAAGGTGATGTTATCAATCTAGAGAAGGAGTTGCAATTGTCGAAAGAAACTTATGAGGAATTGAAAGAGAAAATAAAAGTAATTAAATTTTCCCATACTCATACTCACCATCATCTCCGACTAATTTTAATTAAATTTTCTCTCGTCTCGTTTAGTCGACAGCAACACAAATTGAAAAGTTGAAGGAGCAAATTGTTGCGAAAGAAGAGGAATTGAAAAAATCACAAAAGCATATTGAGAAGATTGAAAAGGAGAAGCAGGGATTGAAAGTTGAAATTAATTCATCATTGATTGCTTTACAACATACGAAATCCGAGTTGCATGAGATTCGAGATGAAAATATTAAATTGACAAAGACTCTACGGGTATGGCATTGGCAGTAGAATATTTTCCACATTGCGAGACATAGGACATGTGCAAACGTCGTCAATTAATTTTTTTTTTTATTTCTTTGTTTGCTTTTTTCCTCGTGTATCGCATTTTCCTTGATTTTTCCATCAATTCCTGATGTATACGCAGGAGAGTGATGCCGGAATAGAAAAGCTGAAGAAGCAGTTGGATAATCTAATAAGTGAAAAGGAATTAATTACAGGACAAATTACACGCAAATGTGGAGAAATTGAATTGCTGAATCAAAAAATCAATATGATGCAAATGGCTTTGGATAGAAGTAAGCATTGCTAATTCAGAGTTGTTATTAGAGTATATACGAAGGTCAAACGTAGCTGAAAATTCTTCATTATTATAACGGTCATTTTTCATACATTTTTCAGTCGAATTATTCGACTTTTTAAACAGTCAGTTAGCTTTATCCTTTTTCTTCCACTTTTTATCAATCTAGCCGAGCGATATCACGCATTTATCGCGCCACGAAAAAGTGAGGATTAATCTTATCATATTCATTCATTGATATCCATTTGTTATAGCTATCTGATCCGATCATTTTTCAGGAAAAAATCCGTGTCGTGTAAACATCGTCCTGTAATTAAATTAAATTTTATATAGCTAACATGAGTTTTGAGATCTAAAAGTTAAATTCAATAATACATGTGCTGTTACTATACACTTTTTTAAATCAAATTTAAGCCTTTTATATTAGAAAAAGGTCAATTTGTGCAAAATAAATTATGTGGAAATTAACAATTGAATGAAAATATTTTTTAAAGTGATTTTGTTGAATAGTTGAGATAAAAAGATTCCAATTATATCATAGAATTTATTTCGCAAGAGCCTCTCAAAGAGATTATCATCCTTGTTGTCTATGATATAATTAATCATTATAAAAAGTAAAACATTGAATTAAGTTAAATAATTTCAAAAAAATATCAAAATAATCATAGCTTAAAAGAATCAATATTGCCTTATCATCCCAAGACGACTCAAAAGAGTATCATTATCTCTTGGTGAGCAATAAATTGATTCTAGTTGACTTAAAAAATTATTTAAATCCAGTGTTAATATTTACATATGGATTAAGGTTAAATCACACACGTGACTGACAAAAAATTATAAATTCAAATTCTTAACTGTCACATCATGTCACCGTCGACAAGTAAAAAAAGTCAAAGGAAAGTAAAAGCTAATAGTAAAAACAACAATAAAATAACAAAATATGCCACACAAAAAAAAGCAGGAAGTAACATGGAATGTGATGGCGCTGATGATTTTACAGTGGCTGACAGCGTAGTTCCACAAGTAAGCCAATCATTAACAAAACATGTAATCGTGGATCCAGTAGAACTAAAAGCTTCATTTGACTCGTATAAGCAAACGGGTGACATAAGTACAATGTTGTCAGTGATGGTCGATGCATATTCCTCGCTTGCAAATTCAGCACAAACGAATGACGATAACTGCACAAAAATTGCACAAGCACTCGATGAAAACTCAGTAATGCTCCACAATACTGCTGACCATTTGAATGACGAATACATGCAACTTTCGAACAAGCACTATGAATACGTTGAAAGTAATGAAAATGACAAGTTAGAAATGAAAGTAAAAGCGGATATAAGATACTTTAAAAGTCAAATGATTATATACCTAAAGAACGATGAACGACTCAAAACAATCACCAATGATGCTGCTGTGCATGAAGCAAATCAAATAATTTCTGAATGTGGACTCTCGTTGGAGAAGGCTTACATCTCAAAAGCAGTCATCCTGTCTGGAATGAAAAAAATAAATAACGTCAATAAATTTGTTAAGTATCTGTATGTCTATTTTAGCGATACCTTTACTGCAGAGAGACTTATGATGGAAATGATCCATAAAAACAAAAAATCATCAAATCCAAAACAGCCAAATTTTATATTCACTCAACCGTCGAGCTATGACATCAATAGAGTGAAGAACATTTGCAATGAGCTAAGGCAGGACGGATCAATCAGCAAAGTCTTCTTTGGAGACGACTCAATAAAGGTCACGCTCAACAAACAGAATCCAAATGATAAGAATGAAGTCGCAAAGAAATTCCACGTTCGCACCTTCTCGGACATAGACACATTAAGGAATAAGGTTCGTGCTAAGAACTTCAAAATTCCTACAAAAATGTATTACAATAAGGATTATTGGAATAAGAAATACCCCGATAGTAAATCCGGAGAGAAAACTGAAAAGCGTAAAGCTATTGATGATCCAGAGACTCCGCCATCTAATAAGAAAAAGCCAAGAAATTGTAATGAACAGCAAGATGATGACGATGATAATTCAACAAGCAGTCATGAAATGTCCAGCTCAACAATTTTAAATCAAAATAAATGAAGTCAAAGCTCACGCGTTCAGCAACTAGAAATAAATAATAAAATAAATTATGACATGAAGGAACTAGAACAAATAATTACAACAAAAATCAACATAAATAAATTCAAAATTATTACCTGGAATGTTCGATCAATTCGTTCATTGAATTCCTTTCAGAACTTTAAAAAGCAGATTGCGGGACTCGTGAGCAGAAACATAGACATGATTATTTTAACGGAGAGCTGGATCGACAGCTATGAAAAATTTAATCTTTACAATCTTAACGGTTTCAGGCTGTACTCATGCTGTAGGAATGGAAAATCTGGTGGTGGAATCGTCACTTATTTGCACAAAAAATACCAAGCTAAAATGATAAATAATGAGAATCTTAATTTTATTGAATACTTATCCTTAGAGCTTCTCTTAGATGATGTTAAAACGAAAATACACGCAGTTTACAGACCACCAAATGCACCATTTAATCTCTTCTTAGAAAGATTTGAAGATCTCTGTACAACTGATGATTTTTCCATAATAACTGGTGACATGAATGTGAACAAATTTAATCAAGACAATGTCAGCGTAAGATTTTTTGATGTCATTAGTAGCTACGGGGGAGTAATTCGAAATGAAGCTGTCACACGAAACGCAAGCAATACACTGATAGATTATTTTATAACATTGAATGCTCCAGCAAATAAATCGATCCATTCACTGACATCATCTGAACTTTTGGGCTCAGATCATAATCTAATTCTCTCATTTATCAGCACAAAACCACCTAAAACAGAAAATAAAATCATTATGAGGAAAATGTGTAATTATGAGAAACTAAGAGGTGATTTTGTATGTGATGAAAACATGTTGAACGACCTACCCGCGAACGAAAGTTATGATTATTTGGTGGGCGCAATTCAATCTGCAATAGAGAGCTCTACTAAATCATCAGTGGTCAACATAAAAAGTTCAGTCATTGCTCCTCCATGGGCTGACATAAGATATCATGTCCTTCACAACAAAGCAAATAACATCCTTAAAAAGACGAAAAAATTAGAGAAATTAAACAAGCCAACAAATAAACTTAAATGTAAACTGAATGACTTAAAAAATTTGATTAATACACATTGCATTGAGGCATCAAACAGATTCTACACAAATGCAATAAAATGTAATGAGAAGAACTCATGGAAGCTAATTAATGAAATTCTTGGTAAAAATAAAAAGCATAGTGACATAGTTTTGAATACACAAAATGGCATAATTAGTGATCCGATGGAAATCTCAGAAATTTTCAATGATAAATTTCTGATGGAAATTCCTCATACATCACATGCAATTGAATACAATGGACCAATCATTGATGACTGCATTTTTTTTGATATCGTATCAGAAGAGGAAATCATGAACATATTGAATACCTTAAATGAAAAAAAATCAGCTGGAAGTGATTCTATTCCACCAAAGATTATCAAGCAATTGAAAGAAGAACTGATAATTCCATTAACAATTGTTATCAACAAAATATTCAAAGATAGCGAATATCCAGACGCTCTAAAATATGCAACAATTGTTCCAGTTTACAAGAAAGGAGATGTTAACGAGATTAAAAATTATCGACCCATCGCGTTACTCCCAGTTATCAATAAAATTGTTGAACGTATAATACTTGACAGGCTACAAGATTTTATGGATAGCACTGGAATTAACGACTGTGAGCAGTATGGATATAAAAAAGGAATTGGAACAAGTGATGCCATTCAGAAATTTAGTCACGATATTTTGAACTTCCTCGACAAAAATGAATGTGTCATTACAGTTTTTATGGATTTAACATCAGCATTCGATACTTTAGACCGTAATATTTTGTTGGAAAAGTTGTCTTACCTAGGTGTAAAAGGTCACGCACTAGATTTATTGAAATCTTATTTTAATAATCGCACACAAGCGGTGAGAATCGGAACAGCCATAAGCACAATAGTAACTAATAAAGATGGAGTTGCTCAAGGTTCTATTCTCGGACCACATCTTTTTAATGTCATCCTCTTCGATTCTCCTGACATCTCATCATTTCGTATAAAATTCGCTGATGATAATACGATCTACAAAAGCTGTAAAAAAGCAGACATTAATTCAACATTATTGGAAGTAGCAAATGATATTTCATTGATGGCTTCTCACTTTAATAGCTGCGGTTTACAACTGAATTTCTCAAAAACAAAGTATATGATTATGGGAAATACTGGATTGGCAAAAAATGAATTAATGGAACTAAAGATAGATAATGCAGTGAATATCGAGAGAGTAAGCAGCCATAAGTTTCTTGGAGTAATTATCGATGAAAAATTCACCTTAAAAGAGCAATTTGATAGCTTAATTAACAAATTGACTCAAGTATGCAGAGTTTTATCAATAATTAAACATCACTTACCTCGTCAAATGCTTATCGACTTCTTCAACGGCCACTTTATGTCTCATCTTTATTACTGTGCTGCTATTTATGCAAAGTTTAATGCTGATCAAACATCCCGTCTACAAGTATTGCAAAATAGATGTATAAAAAATATATTCAATCTGGACACTCAGCATTCAACATTGGACTTATTTAAGACTTATATGCCTAATACCTTACCAGTAATTGGAGTCATTTACTATATGATGATTGTCTACATAAAAAAATCTCTTCTCTTGGATAAGCCAGAGCTCTTAAATTTTGACATTACAGACAGCATCACAAGATCCTCTGGAGAAGTTGTAGCTTGTAGATTTAAGAAAAAGAATTGTCTTGGTCTTGACATAAGCTATTTGGGCGTCAGGCTTTACAATCAACTCAGTAAGGAATTGACAGATTTGAGAAATCTAAAAATATTCAAATCTCAATTAAAAATTTATTTATTGAAAAAAATCGACTTACTGCTTGATTCTGAACAACACAAAACAAGGAAGATATCGTGAAATCGCATCGTCAGCAGCTTAATTACTTTGAAATCACCGAAATATGAAAACCTGTCTCGTTAATAATTTATCTGTTGTTTACAAACATTGTGTACTAAAAAATTAGAACTTAATATTTAAAAAAACCAGCCGTTAAAAATTCAAATTTCAAAAATACGTTAATTTAAATCGAATAGTGATTCTATCCGATTATCATATATATAACCCAATTGGACCAGTATTGATATTTTTTTGTAAAAATCATATATTTAAATGTTCAACTGCTTAATGCGGTGTCGTCTCATATTTTATCCTTTGATGAAAACATAACTTAAGCTGAAAACCAAAAATTGAGACAGACTAAATAAAATAATAATCATAAAGGATATTTGTATTCACATTAGGAAATATATTTATTGTTTTGGGATTTAGATACATCGTGGCTAGCTGGTGAAAAGACACGTAGCTATGATGAATATGCATCAAGCTTTGATTAGAAAATGGAGTATAGCAACATCAAATATCTGTTTTATGTTTAATTATGTTGGGCTACTTTGAATCCTGTTTTAATATCTTAAAAAAATCCAGGTGTAGCTCTAGTTCTTCCACACTGCACAACTCTACCGTCTTTCCATTCACTATTCATTTTCCGATTCTCATTCAATTAGGTAACAGTCAATATAATGATCGACTAGAGGATGTGAAGTTTTTAAAAATCGAAATAAAAAATTTACGCTCACAAAGAAACTTGTTGGCTCGAGGCAGTGCAAATACGGCTGATATGCGACAAGAAGTTTTGCAATTAAATCGAGTTCTTGTACAGGAGAGAGTTCGTTCGAAAGCATTAGAAAATGAAATGACAACGCCAATGAATGTTCATAGGTAGGAACGGATTTTTTTTTTTTGCACAAAAGGATAAGGAAAGAGAAATGATTTTAAATTAATGAATTTCTTTCTTTTTTATTTCTATAGATGGCGAAAATTAAGTGGAATTGATCCAGATAAGGCACAACTTTTGTCAAAAGTTCAAAGTTTACAAAAGTAAATAAAATCACGATTTTAATTATTTTTTGACATTTAATTAATATAATTAATTTCCATTAATTCAGACGACTTCTTCTCCAAACAAGTGTATTGCTTAAGAAAGATGAGACGATACAGACAATAACTGAAAAGGTTCAATATCTCGAAGAGTTTAAAGAGAAATTACCATCTCAAAACATCAAAGAAGATTTAATGATGATGAGAGTGAGTGTAAAATTATAATTCTTCATGCTACTTTGAACTTATTTTCTCTTCCTTACGTACTTACTTATTAAATTGCTCCTTCATTAATCATTAGCACAAATTATCGGCTCATACCAAGAAAATGAAGGCAGCTCTTGTACTATCAAAGATTAAGAATGAAGATCTACAGACAAGAGAGACATTGATTGAAGAAATGAAGAATAATTTAATGGAACTGAAGCGACAATTGCTTAATGAGGTGAGTGTGTATATGGATTAAAATTTACAGTCAATGTTCTTTGTGAATTAACTGCTCACATAATTAATGTTTCAAATATGCAAATGAGTAAAGAGAAGTTATACATTTGGAAGTAGAGTGGGGTGATGCTGTTGAAGTACATTTAGATTTTCATCTAATGCTTCGGTAGCGTAAAGTTTGGCATGAGTCGACCGTTCCTAGCTAGCCATTAATTCTAGTGTTCTAATAAGAAATTTAGAGTTCCGTTCTGTAATTGAAAATAAATTAAATTTTAAAACTTGTTAAAAAAACGCCCCTAATTGTGACAAAAAGTTTAATGACCCTTTAAGAATTAAATCTTAAACTCAAGAAAAAAATTCTAAAGCACTTATTAATTACAGACTTTTACAGACAAACGAAGCACTGCAGACAAGAGAGTTAAGACTCGAATACCAATCGATTCTAAACCATAAAATTCCTACATTTATCATTTCTACATTTTTTTTTTCTTTTTACAATTTCAGAAAAAGGAGAAGAATAAGCTACTCGAACAATTGAGAGAATTCAAGAAGAATGCCCTAGAAGCGCAAAGAGTCATCAATGATTATAAAATTTGCGGTGCTGGTTTTAAGATGAATTGCTGAGAGCATCATAAATTGATTTCTCTTGCATTCTCAAATTATTTTATAATTTTCATTTCAAGCGTCATTAAAGTAGTGAACTGTAAATAATTGAGCACCTGGGGTACATGCCTGCAACATACACATATTCGTACCCTTCACAACGTACGAGAGTAATAACATTTCAGTCATTTACATTTGCACCAGATTTCATTGGTTTTTATACATGAAATATTCTATTTTATATGCGTACATTTTAATATCCAGTGAATAAAAAAAAAAAAAATCAGATGGTTGAATGGAACTGACTCGAATCTAATAAAAATGTTAAGCAATTTTTTTTCCATCTCGTAGATCTTTTTTCAACCCTTTTAATATATATTTTTTTTCTTCTTCTTGTGCCGTTGTTGTTGTTGTTGATAAGCTATAGCATATTCTCAATATGTGGTAGTTTCTTGTTCCTTGCACATATATTTTTATTATGTTCATCGAGTAAAGGAAAAGGAAAGGCCAGGGCTATATGATGATGAGAATAATAAAAATAATGTAATTTTAATCAGCATCAACAGTAAGTCTGGAAACCCCAGAATAGAGATTTCCCGCTGTGTTTGTGATTTCATAAATCAAATTCATGTTTTGGAGACGGTTATGATGTGAAAAATTTATTATGATGCGTTGTTGCGTATGAATAATGTGTTAGTTGAAAGTAGATGAAGCAAAATAAATTGTGATTCTGTGCTGTACATGAATAATAGTCAGGTTAATCATAAAAATGTTCATCACAATTGTTTATAAACATGCGATAAGTGAGAGTAAAATATTGCTTGATGCTTTTTTGAAATGAAATTTATTACTTTTAATTAAAGTTTTGTGCTTGTGGGGTCAATCGCAAATGACGTCTACTACTGTTTAAGGTTGTTGAATCCCTACTCCCCTCTAGTTATTAACCAGGATTGCCACCTAGATTTTTCGTCCCAAAATTCCAATACATCATCTTGGAACTGCCCCCTAAACAACAACTTCTCATCCATTGTCAGCCATAACTACGCGGACAATGACACCAAAGGCGATGAAATAAAAAAAAAATAATAATAAAAATTTTGACCCCATCAGAAAAGATAAATGAAAAATATTTTAGATGTCAAAGGATTCATGACACAGCACAGTTGGAAATTTTCATTCCGGATGCTTTTTGCTCTCTTCCGAAAAAAAAAAAAACATTTCACGACAAAAAGTTTATGAATTGTCATTACCAATATTATTTTTCAAAAGTAATTTTATTATTGTTATGAAATTTATATCTTAGGGGTGTTTTGATATGACTCGGGTGGGAAGAAGAAGTTTGGACGCTTGAAATTAATGATTCATCGTTTATGAGAAAATTCTTGAGTGCAATTTATAGTACTTAAAATTTCATGTTGAATGATATCTGTATGGTTGGATACTTTTGTCTGTTGTGATAAGGAATGTGGCTTAAATTGTGGATGTGAATCTTATTTAATGGATGGAGTTATTAAAGCTTTAATTTTATTGAAAATTTTCAAAACTTGAAAATTCATTGTTTAAATTCTCACTTGGAAAGTTTGCTCCAAAATTTTGACAAAACTATACATTTAATTCATATTTAAATTCTTTTATAATGCTCAACAGCAATGAGCAAAGCCATTTGCATTGAGTTTATGGTTTGAATTTGCTTATTAAGTCTGAATTTTGACTTCCAATGTTATTGAGAATATCGAAGTAAACAAAGAAAGAGCGGGAAAATTCAAATTTCTGAAACCCGTTTATATGGCACTTATCAAAAACATTTTAAAAATGCTCCCACCAATAACAGATTAAATTAAAGCATTCAATATGATATTATTTCGCAAAAAAAAATTGATTTTGCAAGACCAATCTAAAACCTCTTAGTCATGTCTGATGATATGGTTTTGCTTCTTCCTACTACCGACATGTATCAAATGTCTCAATAATTTATGTTTCAGATTTATTCTCTCTTACGAAAGGAGAAAGAGAAATAAAAAAAAAATTTAAACAGGCAAAATCCATTAATTTTGTGCTGATAACAAATGATATATGACACACAAAATGTTCTGCGACAGGCTTAAGTGTATGAGTAGAGTATTCTATGAATTTAAATAAATTTATTTCAAAATTTCAATGGGAGTCATTCATAAATGATGTACATTTAAAAATCGAACCCTTTTCAGCTGTGTCATTGATTTTGCATGCAGAAAAAGTAGTTCTGAGTATGAGACAGTACCAGACCCCCTTAAAAATCGTGATTCAATTGTGTACGACCCCTCACGTCGTCAATACAATAAAAATTGATAAATCTAAAATAGTTTCATTCACTTTCACCCGTTCACTTACTGCTTTATTGATTTCAGATACTAATACAATCATGAGCAATAAGAGCCAACCATGAAGAATGAAAATTGTCGTAAAAAAATGCAAAGCAATTTATAACATAAGGATCATTATCCCTCAACATGAGAATTCAATATATACACACAATTTTAATACGAGAAACACTTTGCGCAGCCATATAATCTTCAAAAAAAAATCCTTGTGCAAATAATCAGGTTCGATGGAATTGCTTTCACTTTTTTTTTATTTTATTTCTCCTTTTTTTATTAATTTTTTACGATTTCAAGGGTGAATTGAGGTCGACAACAGAAGAAAAATGCAATCTAGAGATTCTCATACAATTACCAAAAGGGACATTTTTTTGCTAAATTGTCATCGAAATTTATTTTCATGACATTTTTTTCATTTGTTGTGGTCGAATAGCAATAATGAGAAAAAAAATCTACTTGCTGATAATATGGACAAAATATATCTCATGAATTGCTCGAAGATTAAAGAATTTTTTTGTGCTTACGTCCATTACTTTCAATATTTTTTGTCATTTTTTTTATTAGCAAGATTCTTGAAAATAATAATAAAAGAAAGTAATTGCAGAAAATGGAACCATCAGATTGAAATAAATTTTTTTCGCTAGGTTGATAAATTGCTTTTGTGTGAGGAATCGGATGAGCTAATATGAAATCTTTTCCATACTTTAGTACAGGCGCGTAGTCAGGAGGGTCTTGTCCCTCTCTTAAGCGTTTTAGGCTGTGCTCTAGCTGTGGTTCAAAACGTTTAAGGGATGGACAAGACCCTTCTGGATACGTGCTTGTTTTAGTATCTAAGACACTTTCAATTGCTGATTTTCAAACAATCTTTTGTAATCTGATCAGAACTGACTTAATTGTTTGGCAAGGGGAGAGTGATTATGCAGGAGTCTCAAGAGTAAAGGCTTAGATTTTGAATTTATAAATTTAATAATTACTCCGTATTCTAGAAACTCCTAATTCATTTCAGTTTTCTAGAAGCTGTTTAACTGCCTCTGGACTCTCTAGTCCATGAGTCTGAATCAGTGTTGACCAAACTGTGTGCTTTGGCACACTGGTGTGACATAGAAATTTATTGGAAATGACACGAGCCGATCATGACAGCCATGTGACTTCGGTCATGACTTACCCCTAAGGTGTGCTGTGTCTCATAAATTTTGGAAAACACTGGTCTAGAGGATCTCTGGGACGATAAGCGATCAAATCGTTCTCGTCAACGAAATTCTTCAACATACTAAGGTTCTTGGATAGAATCCTATCTAACCCTGTGTACTCCAGTGTACCCCACTGACTCCTGAGAGACTCGTCCAACTTATCAATAATGACACTAAGCTTTGTAAGAAGAGCCTCATTTAGTATCACAAGCACCTTGTCTTCCATAATTTATAAAGAATTAAAATCCAGCAATTATCACAAAATTCTTCCATCAATCTTCAATGAATGATACTTTAAAAAATTTTATCTTTAAACTTGAATGCTATAAATATTATTTTAATGAATATCATTGCGAAAAATGGACCTAAAGAATTCAGGATAAATGAGATAAAATTATGAAAGAATGAATAAATCTAGAAGTGGATTTTAAAAAAAACAGCAAAAAAACGACTCTTCATTCCTTTCAATTGAAAAAACCACAAATATTTCTCTTTCCTTTCATATTTCCTATCTGCTGAATGGAATTTTCCAAATCATTTTCTTAATGAGTAAGGGCAAACAGTTGAAGAGTTTTTTTTGCATTTCGCGGAAACCGTTAACAGTAATGCAAGGAAATAGCAAAAAGTGGAAGTGAAAGAAGAAGAGAGGATGAACTTAATGATGGAAAAAAGTATATTTTTCATTATAATTTATCCTGTTTTGCTGCATCGGAAAAATTTCTTCTTCTTTTTTCCATTTTTCACAATTTTTTTACAATTTTATTTAATGGTGGTTTTGGAATTTTTTTTCTGCTATTCTTCTCTTTTCATTCCTGCATCCTCTACTATTGGTGCTGTTGTAGATTTATTTCGATTTGAATTTTTCGCATTCAATAAATTTTACTACAAGAATTACTACAGAGCTCTTAAGACTACTTGTGCCGTTCATTTTATATTACAACCAGTTCTGTATAGTATAAATTTCTCGAATCACATTTTAATAGTGGAATGCAATTTTATGTCCTGATTATGTCCTGGTGAATAATAGTAAACGATCTTATTAACTTTGTAAGAGAGTCACATTGGTTGCAGTGGTTTAATACTTTAAAATTTAACCATAATGTTGGTTCGAATCCTACTGAAAGATAATATGTTGCGAATAATGTGAAACTAGGTTAGAATTCCGAGACTTAAAACACATTCCAATCCAGAATTGTGAATATTATCAATACATTATAGTTGAGGCAGATCATACGATTAATTTCAGCAAGATGCTTTATCTACTAGATTGCTTTGAGGTCTCATGAGTCATGCCATTGATATCAAGTCATATTTAAGAGAACCGTCAATGTTAGCATAAGAACTCTGCAGTCAAGTGATTAGGCAACAAACTAGTAGATTCTTCAAGAGTGAGAAAGTTGGTTCGATTCCCACAAAGACTAGTCTCCCAATTCTAACATAGAGTATTGTCGATATGATAAGGAATCGAACTTGTTCTTCCTAAAGTTCTTGACTTAAGACACTCAGGAGGCTCACAAGATAATGTTGTCTAACGCTGGCAACTTGTGAACAATTGTTGTATGACTAAGATTGAGCTTTTAACAGTATTTACTGGATCATTCTATCAAATCATCTTATAAAGACGAAAAGACGCTCAATCCACACATCTTTCAATTAACCATCATACTCTTCAAAGCTTCGAGTTGTAATTCTCAGTTTAAATTAATATTTTTCATACAG